ATGTTCCGCATGGCTGGCTCCAAGGTCAAGGTCACAGTGACATTAACATTGAAAATCCTGTCCGCTCTGTAACTCTTCAACCCTTTGAAGAATTTTGATGAAACTTCAGACAAATGTTTACCACATCAAGATGACGTGCAGAACGCATGTTCCGCATGGCTGGTTCTAAGGTCAAGGTCACAGTGACATTAACATTGAAAATCCTGTTTACATGATTTTAACTTGATTTGGCAGTCAAAGGTCATATCATCTTTGAAGGTAATTTAAAAAAGATATGATATATTATTTCATGTCTACTTTGTAACTTGTTTTTCATTATACAGAATTATCAATATAATTATAGTGAACAAATTCTTCTGTGCTGAACTCGTCCTACATTTCTCAACGGATTTTGTTCAAACTTTCACAGAAGCTTTGTCATCAAGCACCCTGGCACATATTGTCGGGGTTTTGTGATTGGATAGTTTTTGACCTAATTATGGCCCTTTGTTTTTTTCCTTATACATAATATTATAGTGAACACTTCTTCAGTGGCAATTCCTCCTACATTATTCATGTTTTACATTGCACATAGTTACATTGTTTGTTGCTTGTATTTGTATTTCAAATACAACATATTTATCTACAATGGTGATAATTGAAAACCTGGTTTCATGGCATTGCCATGTTTCTTGTTTGCTATTTCTACTGTGTAAATTACGTTTTTATTAACATAAATATATACGCTTAAAATCTGCAGGCATGATCTTTAATATTTAATTTTTTCACTTCTGTTTCATTTTGCTGGTTACTTCTTGTTGTACTAACATTTATGTTTGCTATATATGGTTTTAATTTCTTGTTGTTAAAAGTATATATTTTGAAATTATTCTATGTATTTTACGTCATTAATATGTAAAGAAATTTTTTTTAAAATGTATTGTTTGTGTATTTTGAAAAAAAGCGTAAGGATTTAACTTATAACAAAAATTTAACAATTGAATTTTAAATGTCAACCATATTGTATCATAATTGTGAACCAGTTTCTTTGTGGTGGATAAATGTATTCTTAAAGGAATTGTTTTTGCAAATTTAATGAAATTTAAAAAAATGAGGAAAAATATCTAATCGTACGTTATTTTAAGTATTTTTAAAGAGAATTTCTAAGTTTTCATAAAAAGGTATTTAAGTTCACTTCTATTCAGATAATGAGGAAATATTTTAATATTTTGTTTAATTTTTCGTTAATCTATTAGAGAACAAATTAGACCAGATAAGGACAGTAAAGGTAACAGGCTTTCAATGAACCAGTTCAGACGTCTTTTCAACACATGTAGAATCCCGGCACCACAAAGGGACCATCTCAAAACCTACTTTCAAACTGGTAAGTTTTCAAGGGGTCATCTCAAAGCCTACTTTCTTAAAGATTTAACTCACTACAGTGTTGCAGCAGTACCTCTAGACACTTGCAGAAATCATGATCACAAAGTAGAAAAATACCCCTTTTTTTCACCTATTCTTATATTTTTTATTCATGGTCATATCATAAATTGACCATATCAACATACAGTTTTATATTGTTGAAAATATTAAATTTAAATAGATTTATTTACTCATTGAATAATTTAAATTTAATTGTTCTTAATGTTTTTATAATTTTATAAATCAAAAGCCACTATGATGAATTCCCTAGGTTTTTAACCCATTGTGCTATATTTGTCATTCTACACGATGTGCTGATTAGCTCACCAGAGCCGAAGGCGCAGGGTGAGCTATAAGTATCAAAGGGGGATGCCCAGGTGCCTGTCGTCATGCGTCAACAATCGTCTTCTTTTCTGAAACTACGAAACAGATTTACTTCAAATTTGGTCTGTAGCATCCTTGTGACAGTCACAATTGAATTTGCTCATGTCATTCCAATTGGCCCCTTTTAGGGGTTAGCAAAGCTAAAAATAGAAAAACCTTTAAACATCTTCTTCTACAGAACTAATTGATGGATGATCACCAAACTTTGTCTGTAGCATTCTTGGTTAGTCTTTAATCAAGTTTGGTCATATTAATTTGATTGGCCCCTTTAAGGGGTCTCTAGGGCTAAAAATAGAAAACATTTAGACATCTTCTTCTACAGAACTAATTGATGGATGATCACCAAACTTTGTCTGTAGCATTCTTGGGTAGTCTTTTATCAAGTTTGCTCATATGAATTTGATTGACCCCTTTTAGGGACCGCTAAAGCTAAAAATAGAAAAACCTTTAAACGTCTATTTCAACAGAACTTATTGATGGATGATCACCAAACTTTGTCTGTAGCATTCTCGGGTAGTCTTTTATCAAGTTTGGTCATATTAATTTGATTGGCCCCTTTTAGAGGCCGCTAAAGCTAAAAATTGAAAAACCGTTAAATGTCTATTTCTAGAGAACTAATTGATGGATGATCACCAAACTTTGTCTGTAGCATTCTTGGGTAGTCTTTTATCAAGTTTGCTAACATTATTTTGATTGGCCCCTTTTAGGGGTCTCTAGGGCTAAAAATAGAAAAATCTTTTAACATCTTCTCCTACAGAACTAATTGATGGATGATCACCGAACTGTGTCAGTAACATTCTCGGGTAGTGTTTTATAAAGTTTGCTCATATTAATTTGATTGGCCCCTTTTAGGGGCCACTAAAGCTAAAAATAGAAATAACGTTAAATGTCTATTTCTAGAGAGCTAATTGATGGATGATCACCAAACTATGTCTGTAGCATTCTTGGGTAGTCTTTTATCAAGTTTGCTAATATTATTTTGATTGGCCCCTTTTAGGGGCCGCAAAAGCTAAAAATAGAAATTCCTTTAAATGTCTATTTCTACAGAACTAATTGATGGATGATCACCAAACTTTGTCTGTAGCATTTTTGGGTAGTCTTTTATCAATTTTGCTCATATAAATGTGATTGGCGCTATAGCTAAAAATAGAAAATCCTTTAGATATCTTCTTTTACAGAACTAACTGATGGATGATCACCAAACTTTGTCTGTAGCATTCTTAGGTAGTCTTTTATCAAGTTTGCTAATATTATTTTGATTGGCCCCTTTTAGGGGTCTCTAGGGCTAAAAATAGAAAAACCTTTAAACATATTCTCCTACAGAACTAATTGATGGATGATCACCAAACTTTGTCTGTAGCATTCTCGGGAAGTGTTTTATCAAGTCTGCTCATAATAATTTGATTGGCCCCTTTAGGGGCCGCTAAAGCTAAAAATTGAAATACCGTTAAATGTCTATTTCTAGAGAACTAATTGATGGATGATCACCAAACTTTGTCTGCAGCATTACGGGTAGTCTTTTATCAAGTTTGCTAATATTATTTTGATTGGCCCCTTTTAGGGGCCGCTAAAGCTAAAAATAGAAAAACCTTTAAACATCTCCTACAGAACTAATTGATGGATGATCACCAAACTGTGTCGGTAACATTCTTGGGTAGTGTTTTATCAAGTTTGATCATATTGATTTGATTGGCCCCTTTTATGAGCTACTAAAGCTAAAAATTGAAATACCGTTAAATGTCTATTTCTAGAGAACTAATTGATGGATGATCACCAAACTTTGTCTGTAGCATTCTTAGGTAGACTTTTATCAAGTTTGCTCATATTATTTTGATTGGCCCCTTTTAGGGGCCGCAAAAGCTAAAAATTAGAAATACCTTTAAATGTCTATTTGGATGGATGATCACCAAACTTTGTCTGTAGCATTGTTGGGTAGTCTTTTATCAAGTTTGCTCATATTAATTTGATTAGCCCCTTTTAGGGGCTGGTTAAGCTAAAAATAAAAAAACCTTTAAACATCTTCTTCTACAGAACAAATTGATGGATGATCACCAAACTTTGTCTGTAGCATTATTTGGTAGTTTTTATTAAGTTTGCTCATATTAATTTGATTAGCCCCTTTTAGGGGCCCCTAAAATTAAAAATAGAAATACGTTTAAACATCTTCTCCTACAGAAGTAATTGATGGATGATCACTAAACTTTGTCTGTATCATTTTTGGGTAATCTTTTATCAAGTTTGCTCACATTAATTTGATTGGCCCCTTGTAGGGGCCGCTAAAGCTAAAAATAGAAAAACCTTTTAACATCTTCTACTTCAGAACCAATTGATGGATGATCACCAAACTTTGTCTGTAGCATTCTTAGGTACTCTTTTATCAAGTTTGCTTATATTAATTTGATTAGCCCTTTTTAGGGGCAACTAAAGCTAAAAATAGAAAAAACCTTCGAACATCATTTCCTGCTGAAATATTTGATAAAAATAGAAATACCTTTAAATGTCTATTTGGATGGATAATCACTAAATTTTGTAGCATTCTTAGGTAGTCTTTTATCAAGTTTGCTCATATTAATTTGATTAGCCCCGTTTAAGCTAAAGCTTAAATGCCCCAGGTCATGGCATTTCTTCAAATTATTGTTTAAGCTCAAATTTAATATAAGAAAATATTGACATTCGAACACTGAAAAGCAGTTGTTTCTGGTGAGCGACTCAGGGCCATCATGGCCCTCTTGTATTTTTATGCCACCGCAGCGTCTGCGATGCGGTGGCATTTAGCGATTCACCTTTGTGTGTGTGTGTGTGTGTGCGTGCGTGTGTGTGTGCGTGCGTGCGTGCGTGCGTGTGTGTTTGTGTGTTATATAGTTTATATTGTGAACTTAAAAAATCTTCTTGTGAAAAACCACTAGTCCAATTTCAACCAAACTTGGCAGGATTGATCCTTGGATGAAGGGCTTCCAAAGTTGTTCCAAGAATTTCATTCCATGCAGAAATATGGTTGCCATGGCAACCAAAAGGAATTATAAGAATAAATTTAAATCAAAGCACTGAAAGCGTTAAAGTATACATTGTCATGTTGATTTTAACCTACTGACCTCAAAAACAATAGGGGTCATCTGCTGACCAAGGTCAATGTCCCTAACAAGTGACTCACACCAAGGCTTTTTTCTGACAAAGTTATTAATGAGACATGGAAGATGTGATGTTCCTGGAATTGAATGAATTTGCTTGTATTGTTTTGTATTGTACAGGGTACAGAATAAAAAATAAGAACAATACTTTTATATACAAGGTACATTTATAGAACAAGACTTTTAATAAATATTGCCAACAGTATCAATATTGCCGACAATAGAAGACTAGCTAAAACTGTTTTGACTACTGTATAAAAAAAGCTTGGAAAAAAAACTTCACCTTATAAACCAAAATTTAAAATACATTTTCACAAGCAAAACTGGTCCTCTACACAAGATGCTCTTACTTCTCAAATGTAAAGTCAGATATTCAAAGTCAATGAAGTTGGAATCATTCTTTCAATTTAACATGTTTAATTGTGTTTCAAAATAATATGCAATAAAAAGTGTAATGGCAGGCCTATATTTTGTCATTTTAGCTTTTTGATATCATTGAAAACTAAAGTCTTTATACTTTCTTTTTTTGATCACATTTTATTGGCTAACCATTAAGCCAGAAAGGAGCTTACATATATGGAAGTTTGCTGCATTGTTCCTTGCCCTTTGTTGAAGAGAAAGCATGTAGCATTTTAATGCTTGTTGAGGTCTGTTTTCTTGTTCCATACATTGTCCTAAAATGTTGAGAGCTGTTTCTCTATGCCGGAGGTTTTTATAAGTTTCTATGGTTCTTATAAGTTTACAAAGTGCTTGTTGTTGATCTTGATGTCTTTGTAGATGACGATAGATCTTGTATTGTAGGAAGTATAAGAAAGCTAGAGAATCAACTACAGCCCAGTCCATCCAAAAGTCTCTATACTGATCTCTGTGTATCATGTCATCTTGTGTAGATCTAAACATTTCATATTGTAGTTCATGAGGAATACAGTTGATCTCTCCCTGTATAAATCTGACACAAAATGTTATCATATATTTAATACAGTCCTCACTTTGTTCACAACATATTCTCTTGAACTCTGCTGTTACTCTAGGTGAAGGCATTACGCAGCAGCCACAGATAGGTAAAACAGGATGAGAATAATATTGTTGTTCTGTGTGTCTCAGAATTAGTTCAGCTTTCTCCATATCTCCTGTACTGTAGAACACTGAAGCCAGTTTAAGTCTGCTAGATGAGATATCTGAATTTAAACCAGCTGATAGCCAGACCAATGCTTGAGGTGACACTTGATTATTTTCACCAATGCTGGATGATGCTAGGGTAGAACCATATGTGGTGAAAAAAAAAGGTGCTAAAAAATTGAATGCAACTTGTTCAAATCTATTACCATTATCACTGAAGGTCATCAATTTAACTATTTGTTGCTTTTGTTGCTTCATTGTTCTAATGTTTTCATTGTGAAAATGTCTTAAAACAAGCTTATGCTGTATACTTATGTTGTTTGCAATGTTTAGATATCCAAAGGTCAAAACATTTTCATATATTTCAAGAGGAGAAGGAAAATAGTAAACTCCATGTTGTACCCTGTTCAGTTTAACTTAAAGTCTATGACCAACATCATCAATATCAATACTAAGTAACCGTTGTCTATCATTCTGTATAAAATCACAAATATTTTTTGAAAGTTCATGTTTTGTCTCAGCTGTAAATTGCCCTGCCATCAAATTATTTTCCGGTATAATGAAATGTGAACAACAGTCATTCTGTACACAACTGTGTAATTCCAATAAGCAGTATGTTAAACATGTAAATAAATTGTTATCTTTCCATATTCCTGACTCTGTGTTTTCTACACAATTTAATAAAACTGTTTTGCACATGAAACTTGATATGTTGATTTCATCTTGAGGGTTGAGGAAGGACTTAAGAATTATTTTCAATAGTACATAGCACCTTATTTGTGTTATATTTAAATTAAACATTATACATCTTTCTGTCAATGATGTAGATATTCTCCATTCCAATTCAGGATATTCACTGACCTTACTTCCAGTTGGAACAACTAAAAACCCAGTACTTGCTGCATATCTTCTCATCTCTTGTGTTGGCCATCTGCCAATACCTTGTCTATCTAACCAACCTGATGCTGATTGAGGCCATGATTTACATGGATAAGCAATTACTTTGTCTGAATCACATAATCCAGGTTGTCCTTGCTCAGCAATAGATGGTCCATGCTGCTGCTCAGCACCCTGAAGATAATAATCTATCACTGTGTTTTTATACAATATTCTTCCTCTTCTATCAGTAATATGATTTTCATCAGGAATGACAGTAACAGGAAGAGGTTCATCATCTCTGAGCATTTGTAAGAAACAATACCCCTGGGTAGTGTTCTCATCCTGTATCAGGAGGTAGTTTATCTTGCCATGTTCCCACTCTGACCAGTTTTGTATTATATTGAAATCATGAGGACAGCCCAGTATATCAATATCTGACTGAAGTCCTATAGTAGTTGTACCTTCACTTTGACTCCCTAGATGATAGTAAGTTACATTTTGATCAGTAAACCTGCTCCTGATATTACTCATAGTCTCTTCCAGCATGCTTTCTCTTCTCCGTCTCATCACATTTCTTTCATTGACACCAATGTCATGTAAAACCCCTGATAACATCAATGATAAGTTTTCTCTGTAGTCAGGTTCTTGAAACATTCTGTAATATATTGATACAGAAAAAAAATATATCAGTCAGCAGTTTTAATTAATTTTATCACATACTTCTACTTGTTATTTATTTGTCCTTTGTGTCTTAGAACAGTACAGAACAGGAGACCCTGAATCTGGACATTATGAAACATAAAATAAATAAGTTGAGGTAGATATCAATTGATCAAGAATATTGCATATTTTTCTCTATTTGGTTATGGTAGACACTTAAATTAAACACTCATTTAAATATTCATGTTACACTTTCTTATATAATTCATTTAATACAAATGAGAAACTGTGTACATAATATAATGTTTTAAATTTAATTTGAATTCTGGATTTAAATTTCTTGAAAATAATCAAGAGAAAATATTTCTTGTCATTTGACCAGATATGTGAAAATTTAGATTTATATAACGCCACAATATATTGTAAAAAGTACATGATAATGTTAAATATAATTATGTATATTTCTATTTAATTAAAATACATAATTTATTTTAACAAGTATTTTATTTTTTTGAGATTGATGAAAGGGAGACAAAAAAATTAAAAACACTGTCTAAAATATTGCCTGAACTACTTTCTTACATAATTCATTCTATATAAATGAGAAACTGTGTATTTAGAATAGAGTTTTAAACTTACTTTGAAGGTTGTATTTAATGGTATTTCATAGAAATAATCAACAAAAACTGTTTCTTTCCTTTTGACCAGCTAGGTGGAAATTTTGCTATTTTTACTTCCTCTTTTGGTTTTGAATGAAATGAAAGGGAAATAACTCATTTCCTTTTCCTAACAGTTGTTATGAGTGTTAATTGAATAATGTCCCTTTTTACATTTTTCAATGTATTCTATAAAAACATGATAATATAGGATAATTATGTCTATTTAAATAATATAGAATGTGTTAAAACATCATATTTTTCAAAGAAAAACAATTATTTTCAGAATGAAATTTCACTCGCTGTTAGTGATATGTACTTGACTCCTTCATTATGCAGATTTGCAAATTTGAATCATCACTTTTTGCAGAATTTCTATTGTTGACATCAATGATGTCATTTCCTGTAATTTTTATAAATAACTAAATGTAAGAAAAAAGAAGATTGATATGTGATTCCTAAAATAAACAGCAAACTCCTTGATAAAGAGGGCTTGAACCCCTCGAAATGTAGACGATTGATAAACTTTGTGCATGAGATAGTTTTTTTTTTTCCATAACGTTACTATCAGTTCATGAAGAAGTTGCAACACTATAATGTCTCTGTTAGTTAACATGTTTCAGATAAATTTCCTGAATATGTCTCTCCACAAGTTGAAAGGTTATTTTTTATGTCTGAAACAAGTTTCCATTCGAGTGTATATTTATGTCCCCTATTTGCAATGGTGGTGTTACTGATACATAAATACTGAAATATTTAACTGACAGTTACAAATTCAAGAGATGGCAAGTTCAGCATAGTAAGAATACTGTTTAAGGTTTTTACATTGATACATATCATATTTAAGTTAAAACCTGTATGGAGAAACAATAAGTTTTTATGAAGGAGTGTGATATATGGTATATCACACTGATGAAATACTTTTTAACTCACCTGAGTGTGAGCTATTGTGATCCCCCGTCATCCATCGTCAACAATTTCTTAAACAACATCTCCTCAAAAATCAATGACTGCACAGTAACCAAACTTTACAGGAATGATCCTTGGGTGGTCCCCTGCAAAAGTTGTTCAAATGGTTCCGGTCTGTTGCATAAGTAGGTCACGGGGCTAGAAAAGGATTTTAAAAAATGCAAACTTAAATAATCCTCTTGTCTGAAAGTGAAAGGCCAAGAGCTTTGATATTTGGTATATGATATCACCTATAGGTCCTCTACCAAAGTTATTCAAACTATAGCCCTGGGGTCAAAATTGGCCCCGTCCCAGGGAATCATAGGTTTTCCTTATATGTATAAAGTAAAAAGTTAAAAAATCTCCTTGTTTGAAGGTACAAGGCTTAGAGCCTAGATATTTGGTATATAATATCATCTATAGGTCCTCTACCAAAGTTGTTCAAATTATAGCCCTGGGGTCAAAATTGGCCCCGCTGCGGGTGTCATAGGTTTTCCTTATATGTATATAGTAAAACCTAAGAAAAAACCTTCTCCTCTGAATTGACAAAGGCTAGAGGTTAGATATTTGGCATGAAGAATTATGTAATGGAACTCTACCAAGATTGTTTAATTATAGCCCTAAGGTCAAAATTGGCCCCACCCAGGGGTCATAGGTTTTCCTTATAAATTTATAATTGTATAATTAGTAAAAACTTTAAAAAATCTACTTGTCTACAAATTATAGCCCTGGGATCAAAATTGGCCCCGCCCCAGGGGGTCATAGGTTTCCTTATATGTATATAGTAAAAACTTAAAAAATCTCCTTGTTTGAAGGTACAAGGCTTAGAGCTTAGATATTTAGTATATAATAATATTAATAGGTCCTCTACCAAAATTGGTCCCGTCCCGGGGGTCATGAGTTTTCCTTATATTGTATATTGTAAAAACTTAGAAAAAACCTTTTCCTCTGAATTGACAAAGGCTAGAGGTTAGATATTTGGCATGAGACTTTGTGTAGTGAACCTCTACCAAGATTGTTCAAATTATAGCCCTGGGGTCAAAATTGGCCCCTCCCCGGGGTCATAGATTTTCACTATATACATATAGTAAAAAATTAAAAAATCTTATTGTCTGAAGGTACAAGGCTTAGAGCTTTGATGTTTGCTTTATAATATCATCCATAGGACCTCTACCAAAGTTGTTCAAATTTTGCCCCTGGTGTCAAAATTGGCCCTGCCCGGGGGCATTGATTTTTGTTATATACAAATTGTAAAAACAGAAACTTAAACAAATGTTTTCTGAATTGGAGAAAGCTACAGCTTAGATATTTGACATGAAATGTTGTTTGGTGGACCTTTATCAACATTGTTTGAATTAAACCCTTGGGTAAAAATTTGCCTTGCCCAAGGGGACAGTGACCTACTTTCTTGTCCTTTGATGTACAGCCATGAAATTAGGACTATGTGCACATTTTTATTTGTAAAATTGAACTTTGATATCAGGTGACCTAGATTTTGATGATGTGACCTACTTTTTTATCCTTTAATGTGCAGCTATGAAATTTGAACCATGTGCACAGATTAAGATGTAACGTGAACTTTGATATCAGCTGGCCTAGATTGTGTCTTACTGTGTTGTCCTTTGATGTACAGTCATGGAATTTTGGCCATGTGAAATATAACCTTCACCACCAAATTCACTTAACTCAACTGCATTGATAGATTCCTACTCTGATCATTTTTTGAATAACAATAGATTTAACCACTAATCTAATAATAAGAATTAGATAGGTCAGTGATCTATGCATTATGGCAATATTTATTTGTATAAAAACAATAAAATTCTGTTCCTACATTACTATTTAGTGTTGTATTAATGTGGTGGCATAGCATTTTTTACAAATGAAATCTTGTTTATTTCTTAAGATGTATATCAGAATTAACTATGTACTTTGTACCATACGTATGTTTGTATGCATGCTAAAGAACAAAACAAATGGGTTTCCTGCTTAAGGACCTGAAGCTTAAAAAAATGTTTTATTCGACAATATGTATGAAAGAAGAACAAAATGAATGGGGTTTCCTGCTTGTCAGCCTGAACCATAAAAAAAAAAGATTTGTTATAACCAAAAATATTGTTTTATTACCAGAATCTGAAGGATCAATGCCGTTGCACCTGACAGTATTTTGTCGTGGACGTATATTTATTACGAAATGTCTGGACGAGAACGAGGTTCCCCTAACACCTCCGGAACTACAACAACAATTCCAGTATATCACCGATAAATGTGCGAATGAGCGGGAGGGGCCAGGTCTGGGGGCTCTTACAGGGGACAATAGAACAACGTGGGCACAGGTAAAATTTAATCCACGTGATTGCTTTGAAAATGCATTGTTTTTTCGAATGTTTCAAATATTTTGTTGATTAAGTGAATTAAGTACAGAATTTATTTGGTTTAAAGTCATAAATGTTTGCTGTTAGTTAATTATTAAACTTTGTACATTGAAACATTAGAATGTATTCCTGGTGCATGACCATGATACATAGTTATATAGTTACATAGGCAGAATCTGTTGTCACCAGCAGGCTAAGGGTTAATAATTTAACTCCCAGTAGATATTATGGATACGATTTGTCACCCACATATTTTATATATTCTCACAGATAAGAAGCCATCTTGTGGCCTTACACCCACAGAACTTTACTAACCTGGAAATTATCCAACAAAGTATAATGTGTGTAGTGTTTGATGACAACTGTCCTGCTAATGAAACTGAGGTCAGTATTACATGTGGTTTATATCTGTATTCCAGATTGAAAAATAACAGCAACATCCACCTCACGGCTATTTATTAATTTATATTCTATAAGTAATTGATCATTCTGGTCAAGTTTTGTTTCATGTGTTCATTCAACAAAGTAAGTAAGTAAGTAAAGACTTTATTAATTTTAATGAGGCTAACACACATTCGGTTTCCTATCTTCCATGTTTGCCATGACCTCGAAACGTAACTTGAAATGAAATCATAGTTAGTGCTAAATGAGCTATACACATAGTGAAAATAGGATTTAACTCACTACAGTGTTGGAGCAGAACCTCTAGACGCTTGCAGAAATCATGATCACAAAGTAGAAAAATATTTCTATATTCGGTGATTCTTACATTTTTCATTCTTGATCATATATAAATCAGCAGGTGTAAAGGATTCCATCATTAAAGTGCTTTGTTTGGTATATACGGTATTTAGTGTTCCAACACTTTTTTAGTCTCATACGTGACAAAATGTGGTCAGCGTCTCCCTTTGTCACCATGACAGTAAAATGTTAAATCCTTTGTAAAATTTTATATAGAATGTTATGCTTATCTCCAATATTAAGTTTTGATATATTTTTCTTTAAAAGGTAACTTATACAATGGAATCTTAGAAAACTTTGGTAAATAAATATACAGTAATTTCATAAAAATTTGAATTAATTTATGTTTGTTTAAACTTGACTTTTTGTAATGTTTTTAGGTGTTCCAGTTAGGTTTAGCTGGTGATTCTACAAACAGATGGTTTGACAAATCTTTGACCATGATTTTCTTTAAGAATGGACTGGCTGCCTCGAACTGTGATGTAAGATTTTTGATGGTGTTTTTTTTTTGTGTAACAGTTTTCTATGGAAAATGTTTTTATAAAGCAGTCAGATATGATTGCAATTCAAATTACATGTATATTTATTTATCAGTGCTTTTGGTTCAGAATTTCCTGATACAAACGGATAAGAAAGTGAAATCTTTGAACTTGATACAAAACAGATAAGAAACTAAAATCTTTTCAACTTGATACAGAATTTATAATGATATCATAATGAGATTTATGAACCTGAAACAAAAACAGATAGTAGTGAGAAGTGTTATTGAAATAATCAGAGGAAGGTACTGGTATAACTCCCCAGGAACGATGGTGAGGAAACTACCTGCCTATATGACTGAAATTCTGTTGGGAAAAGGCGTAAAATGAAACAAACAAACAAACAAATTGAAATAATAATTTAGTTCTTTCTCAGAGATTGAGACTACTTATGTTGGGCCTGCTGTACTATTCTTACAGATTCATATTCTTCTTTTAAGCAGTGATACGAACACATTTTATATGAACAAATTATACCCAGATTTG